CCTGTCTCCCAGCACACGGCGTCCCCCATCCCTGGGTCCCTGCTCCCCACCCCCCATTCCTGGGAACGCTCCAGGGCGAAGGACAGCAAGCAAACTCGGTGATTACCTTGAGGGGTTGGTCACGTCTCATGACGGCCAGTTCAATGTTTTTGCCACCGGACTGGACCACCTTGGAAGGCACAGGAGGTGGTCAGGCGCCACCCGCCCTGCCCTCCCCACCGTGAAGCCCAGACGGCTGGACTCCAGCCTGGCCATCTGGCCACCTCTCTGCTGCTTTGGCTTTACCTGCCAGCATCTCCCAAGTGCTGACGAAGCCCAAGGCCATGACTCCCAGCTGCCAGTCCCCCTTCTATCCCCAACCTCAGCAGGCGTGCTGTGAATGGAAGACTCCAACCTACCCTGCACCTCCTGTCCAGCCTCTGCTCCTCACCTGAGCACGCTCCCGGGCCAGCTACCTGGCCCCACCTGCCCTAACCGCACGAGGGAGCTGACGGGTCACCAGAGCAGGCACCGGAGCAGCGCCCGGCACGCCGCCTGTGCCCTCACCGCCTGCGCACAGCCGCCCACTTCCCTGCTGTCCATCCTGCCCCGCCCAAGCAGCAGATTTCAAATGCAAACGCACTTCCAGGAGGGCCTTGATGACCAACTTAATGGTCAGGTCGTCCGTCTCAATGGCTTCGTCAGTATAATTCTTCTCCAGAAACTCCCGCACAGACTTGGCACCCCGGCCTATCGCATTGGCCTGAAAGAGAAACGTGTTCTATGGTGCCGGGCATGACAATCCAAAACCAGCCCAGGACATGGCCGCGGCTGCCTGGGCCAGCCGTGCGTCACGGAGGCAGCCTGGCCCCCAGGCCCTGCCCTGTGGACTCCTTTCCCCAAGGGCCATTTGGAATTGGCACTGGTCCTTACCCCGAGTGGGATTCTTTTTCATTACTGAAAGACACAAAGGTGACCGTATTTCGTGCCACATACCCCCACACCTATCGTTAGACACGGTCTCAAACAGCAACGTCTACGGACTTCTTCACTCCCACACCAGAAGCGTCACAGAACAGACAGGTAGTGAGTGCACGTGCACACGCGCCAGCAGGAGACCCAGTTCCTTCTAGTGGTCTCTGCAACTCTGTCCTGGCAAGTCCGCCAGAAGACCCTCTGTTCTGTCAGAGCCTCACCTTCCAGGCATGGTATGTCCCCGAGGGGTCTGTCTGATAGAGTCTGGGTGTGCCATCAAAGTCGAAACCCACAATGAGGGCAGAGATGCCGAACGGTCTGCGTCCATTGCTCTGCGTGTAGCGCTGGCGGGAAAAGGAACGTATTAATGTCTTCTTGGCACAAAAGGCCCCACGGAACCCACCCTAAGTCGCGCGCGCACACACACAACGCGCACACACACGACGTTTCCTACAGCTGGGCCTTCGCTGTAGGGATGGAGACACTCAGGTTATCTGCAGTTCAAATGCTGAGGACGGCGGGCCTGGACTGCTCGTCGGTCCTCCTTCCTTTGTGCGGTTTTGCTCAGAAAGACGTGTGAGACCGGCCTGTGACCAAACTGAATCGCAGGGCACAACCGAGGCCGCCAGAACCACTCTGACAACACACGTGCTTTTGGCTACGCACTTGACTTTAAAACGACCAGCACTTCACCAGAGGGTGGGGCTGGCTCTCAGCTCCTCCCAAATGCTTGGTAACCAATCATTCAGGACATCAAGACAAAGACTATCATGTCCCTCCAGAAGTATGAGCTTGGACTGTCCCCACGCCACTAAATGAGAACAATGCCACCAAAGTGGACAAGCTACAGTGAAGTTACACTGCACAAAGATCGGGACTGTGCGTGGAATTAGAGCAGTTTCCTGATTCCCCTGAAGTGACCTATGCAAACACGTACACACAGGTAACATGAACTCCTGCGGCAGGACACTTTTCAGGACACAGCAGTGGCTGCCATGTAACCAGGGCTGAGCCACAGGCAGGGAAAGCCCACCTGCTTGAGACTGGCAATGTAGCGCGTGATGTACTCCACGGTGACTGGGTCCTCCACGGTCAGCCGGTGGCTCTGGCACTCCACCCGGGCCCTGTTGATGACTATCCTCGCGTCTGCAGTGAGCCCTGCAACGGCAGAGAGACGGCCACCTGAGCCACGCCTCATCGGTTCCAATCGAGGAAGCACGGGTCACATAAGCACACAGCAGTTATACTTCGGCCAGTTCTCTGAAACCCGGTTCTCAGGTCATCTGGGTGACGGACGCTGGAGCGATCATCCTCTGGCTGTGCACAGAGGCCTCTGACGACGCCCAGTTCAGTTTACAGCAACTGGGATCTTGCTAGAGTGAACCTGCCTGGAGGCACGAGTGTCCAGAGCACACAGCGCGCCCCCACGGCAGGGACTGCGCCGGGGAGAGCCAGGCGTGCTGAGCCTGTCTGGAGACTGATCCCGTCATGTGCCAGCAACAGCACAGAGCGCCCCTGCCCCCCATGAGAGCTTGGTGAAGCTGGCAAAGATCCAAATCACCTCCTTTTAAATGACTTTAGTTTACCCACTTTGTAGATCTTTCAAAAGCCACCCCACCAAAGCTCTAATCTTTAACGACCTCTAAGGACCGGGGCACCGGCCCCACGCACCTGCGAATGCCATGCAGACGTTGTCATCCAATGCACAGATCTTGCGTACGGTTCTCTCATCCTGCAGTTTGGCCACCGACTTCTTCTCCACGCCCAGAACAACGATGTCCTTTCCTCGCACGCCCACCTTCAATAAAAATCAACACGGTCCTTAACAAAGCGACAAGGTTCTGCCGCCGGGCACGGGGCGCTTCAGCGGGTGGTAACGGGGTCCTGCGAACACCCTGGGGGTGGGCCCCACACTTCGCAGGTCACAGAAACTGACCCATGTGTGGCAGAGCTGGGTGCCCACTCCTGGGCACCCACCATCCAGTATGAAGTTTCCGCTACAACACAGTAGCTGTTGTGTATTTGTGTATATTACTTCAACGCGGATCAGAGAGACACACATAAGGCTTTTAGGCCTGAAACCCTAACCTTTAACGCTATTGTTCTGAAAGCAATGTTTCTATCATTGTGAAGCGACATTAAAACCCACCCTGGGAGCACCTCGGTGGCTCAGTCAGTCAAGAGTCCAACTCTTGGTTTCTGCTCAGGTCATGATCTCCCAGCGGCTTGTGAGACTGAGCCCTCAGTCAGGCTCTGCACTGGGAGCTGCTTGGGAATCTATCCTTGCCTTGCCCTGCCCTGCCTCTCTCTCAAACAAAAACACGCCCCCTCTCTCTCAAAATAAAAAAACACTGAGAGAACAACCTCCCCCCCCCGTGACACACCTGTGCACAGCCGTGGGGACGGCCTGATTCACTCTCCTGTCAGAGAACAACTCTTACCAGCAATTCCTGGGAATGAGCTGCTCTCTGGGTACAGCACAGACTGTACAGGGAGGAGGATGTATTGAAAACAGGAAAATCCCCCACCGGCCAGTGGACCCCCGACCCTATCCGGGCAGGAGGAGACAGAAATGGGGCAACGCTCCAAGAAGCAACACGCCTCAGCCCAGAGCAGCTCTCTCAGCCACAGCTCTGCGGGCACCGGGCTGCCCTGCCCACCTCTACCCCTACACATAGGCTGGCAGTACTTCACAAAGAAACAGGTCTGCACCCGTTGCCAAATGCCCTTTTGGGGCGCAAAATTCCAGCCCCCCCCCCATGCTTGGGAAGCACTGGTCTTCGGGGTTTCTGATCTCAAGGCTCCTTCACATAGTCTAGGAGGTGAGCCTCCAAGTTCCCCTGGGAAAGGAGGCCAGGCCCAGAGGCACTGGGAGTATTAAGCAAAGCCGCCCTGGCTGGCCAGAGGGAGTACTGGGGGCGGGGGGAGCTTCCAAGCAGCTCGTCTCCCAGTGCTCTTTAACCTAAGTTGGGCCCCAAGATGGATTCTGGACCTGAATTTCATAAGAGATTCAGGAAATGAAAGCACTTCATCGCTCAAAGCCGTGTGTCCTTTCTCTCTGCGCCGGCGCACCCACAGGTGTCTCAAGCAGTGATCAAAACGGCAGGTCTGTGCTCAGATGGCAGCAGCAGAACGACTGCCAACGCTGCCCGACGCGGCGGAGCGCTCCTGGTGGCAACGCTGACGCGGACCGCCTGCTTCCCTTTGTTCCTGAAGCTCACCTGGGCCTCCGGGACCACTGGTGTCCCTAGTGAGGGCGAGTCCCCTGGCCAGGACCACAGGGGGGCGGCTCACCTAAGCTGCCAACAGACTAAAGGAGTCACCGAGCCAGCAACGACCCAGCCCTGCTGCTCGGTGCCCGCACCCGTGCCCTGACGCTCGAGGCGCATCAGCCGGGGCCCAGGGCCCGGGGCCGTGCAGGGCGACCCGCCAAAATGGCCGTCCCACGGCCGCTCACACACCCTGGAAACGCCCGAGGGAAAGAGAAACCCGTACTCCGAAGCTCACCGCTCAGACAGAAGCGCCGGCCTCTCAAGCGCCCGCGCAAAGTCACTGGCACCCATCTACCACTGCGCCCTTCGGTGAGGACCCGCCGGCAGCGGGGCAGGCCCCCAGGCTCTCCTGCGCCCGCCTGCTTGGCCGTCCCAGCACCCGCAGGTCCCCAACGTGCCCCCGCCCTGTTTCCTTCAGCGACACGGACGATCCCGGGGCTCCCCAAGAGCCGTTGCGCGGGCCCCCGAGAGCCGCTCGAACAAAGCCCATCCCTACGACGGAGGCCATGAGCACCGGCGACCCTGGGCCGGCCTCGGGAGCCCGGCTCGCACCAGCCTCCTCCGCCCCGGCCCGCTCTCGCCACCCGCCGCGCACGCCGGGCCGGGGCGCCAGGCCCCGCCGGCCGCCGCTCACCGCGGTCGAGCCCTTCTTCACGGCCTCCTGCGCGTACTCCACTTGGAAGAGGTGGCCGTCGGGCGAGAAGACGGTGATGGCGCGGTCGTAGCTCATGCCGGCGGCACGGCGCGGCGGCGGGGCACGGGAAAAGCGCACACTCACTGCCGCACGGTTCGGGATTCACGACGCCTCTGCGTTCGCGCCGTGCGCCCGCCCGCCCCCGCCGCCGCGCACTGCGCTGCTGGCGTACGGCGCCGTACGGAGGCGTCGGGCAGCGTCGGGCGGCGTCGGGCTGCGTCAGGCGGCGTCTGGCTGACGTGCGCGCGCGCCGGGGCGGGGCCGGGCCGAACCACCGGCGGCCGGCCGCGGGGGTGGAGGCTCGGCGGCGGAGGGCCGGCCGCGGGGCGCAGAGCGGCCGACCCGGGGCGCCGCCGGGGACTCGCCCTGGGGGACCGGACGGCGCGCCGGGGCGGCGGAGCGGCGGGCCCGGGGGCGACGCAGGGGGCGGCGGGGCGGGCGAGCCCACGGCGCGGCGCCCCCCGTGGTCCCCGCCCCCCCAGCGACTGCGGAGAATGAGCGCCCAGGGCCGCCGAGCGCCGCCGGAGCAGAAGCCCCGAGGAGCTCGGGCTCATCTCGCGCGCGACCATGTCAGTGGCCTTCGCGTCCGCCCGGCCGCGAGGCAAAGGGGAGGTCACGCAGCAAACCATCCAGAAGGTGGGCCGGGGCGGGCGCGCGGGGCCGGGGCGCGCGGGCCGCCGGCGGGCGCGGGGCGCGAACAAAGCCGGGGCGCAGCCGACGGCCGCGACCCCGCCGCCCCCCGCGCCGCCCGCGCCCCGCTTGGTGGGGGACGGGGCCCGGGGCGGCCCGGCCGGCCCGGCGGGCGGCGGCGGCGGCGGCGGCGGGGCCCGGGCGCACAGGAGCCCGGCCCTGCGAGGCCCGCGGGGGCGCGTGGAGCGCGGGGCGCCGAGCCAACGGCCCCGGAGCCCTGCCCGGAGCGCGGCGGCCCCGGGGTCGACCCGCCCGCCGCGCTTCGCGGCCCTTACTCGCGTGTCACATTGTTTTTCAGCCTGACACCCCGGCCAGCCTCCTCACCTAACAGAAACTTTACCGATTCGCTTTACAGCCTTTCCCCGCGTCCTGTAAGTTTGGCCTTGTGGTTTTACTGAGATAACGCTTACGTGGGTGTGGGGGCGCCTTTGACAGAAGCCTTACGCTTTGGACCTGGGATTTTACGTTTTCTCCTGTTTCTCCTTAGAAGGCAAGTTCAGAAGAAAATCGGTGTTAGCCATTCCCGTTTGAATTTTCTCAGCGTCTCTGGCAGCAGCTGCCCTGATTTCTTTTCCACCCGAGGATTCTCGGGTCAGCAGCACGCCGTGCTTCCCGCTAGCTGCTGCTCTCCCGGCGGGGTGCGCCTGCGTGACCGCGGCCCCTCTTCCTTAGGGACTCGCCGGGACCTTGCGGACCTTGTCCTATTTGCAGACTGCCTTTGCTGCGGCCGGTTTGGGCACGTGGACCTCAGCGAGCCGCGCCGGGAAGGAGAGGACCCGAGAGGTGGCAGAAGGGCAGCGTTCGTATTTGTTTAGCAACCAGCGCCTTCTGCCCGCCTGGCCCTGCTCTCCCGGCTCTGGGACCTTCCCTCGTTCGTTTGTGGCAGGCAGTTACTGTGTCCCTTTTACAGATCAGGAGACTGAGGCATAGCGAAGCTAAATGTGGTTGCTGTGAAGCGGTTTGCGGGGAGACAAACCCAGACGGTGGCTCCAGGGGCTCCCGTAACGAGGACTGGCGCTCTGGGAGCACTTGGTGGGCAGAGGGTCAAGCAGGGGGGCCCAGAGCCCCACTTTGGCAATCCTGGGGGGGTCTCCTGGCATCTTGCCTTTTCGGAGCTCGAACGTGATGAGCACAGATGTGGTTTCCAAAGCCCCCTTTGGCCTGACACCCACCTAGTCATCTGCGCCTCGCACTCACCCCGTTAAAGCTCCCAGAAGTCTTCGGCAAAACCGCGTGCCCGAGTGCCTGCCATCCCCAGGCATCAGGTCCGAAAGAGGGAAACTCGCCGAGCGTTGAAAATGGGGCTTCGGGTTCGGCTCTCGCAGATTTGTGCTGATGGGGTTAGCGGTCGGCGCACCTGCCCTGGGGTTGTGGCGGTGAATGCTGGCCGGCCGTGAGGGGCTGAGAGGTGCAGGCCTTACACTCGTGCTCAGAGCATTGAGGAAAGCCAGGGACTCCTCGGCAGTGTGCCTGGTAGCCAGACAGCAGGAAGTATATGGCTTGTCCTCAGTTTGCCTGGCAAACTCCTACTCGGCCTTCAAGGCCCTCTCAGACATCCTGTCCCCCATCTCCTTTGGCAGTTGTGCGGTAAGTGCAGCACTTTGACAGGTCGCTTGGCCTCCCGAGTTTGCACATCACCAAATTATTCTTTGCTGGGCCCCCAGCCTGGCACGCCGCCTGGCACAGCTAGTGTTCGGTTCGCGCTAGAACATCTATGACGCCGGTTCCGTCAGCGGAAGCGTTTGGGGGCAGCAGACGTATTCGTTTCCCGGGGCTGCCACAGTGTGTCATGACCTTGGTGGCTTAAACAACGGAAATTTATTTCCTCACCCTCTGGAGGCCAGAAGGTCCGAAGTGAAGCCATCGGCAGGGCTGGTGACTTTCTAGGGGCTCTCGGGGAGGATCGGCCGTGTTTTCCCCTGCGCTGCTGCTGCTGCAGGCTCGCCGACGCATCACCCCACCCCTGCCTCGGTCATCCCGTGGCGTTCTTCTCTGCGTGTATCTTTGTGTCCACGTTGCCCTTTTCCCTTGAGGACGCCACTCATAGGATTCAGGGTTTCCTCTACGTCAGCATGACCTCGCCCTGAGTTCGGGTACATCCGTAAAGACCGTGTTTCCGTATCAGGCCACGTTGGCAGGCACTGGGGGTTGGGGCTCGAACGAAATATCTTGAGGAACACAGTTTAACTCGTAACGGCGGGCGTGTGGGGGAGGAATATTCCAGACAAGGAGAACCAAGGAGCGAGAGTAGAAAGGGTCTGAAGATCCAGGGACTTGCGGCGGTTCCCGCACATGGTCTGCATAGACGGATGCGGAAGATTGAAGGGGTCAGGGTGGTCTTGCCGCCGGTCTGCATGGAGCAGGTCACGGGACCCGAACCGGAGGGCAGGGAGAGCGGCCTGGTCTGGGAGTCACGGCTGAGCACCCTGGTGGTTTCTCCGGTGGCGACCAAACCGTTTCAGTGCAGGGGGAGATGGCTGCCCGGTGCTCGTGGGAGAACCACAGGGCACGTGACTTTGCCAGGGAGCCTGAGGCGGAGACGGGCAGCATCCCCACGAACCGCAGCGTCCCCAGAGCTGGCGAGCCGCCTGCAGGCTGGGGCCTGCGCGGGCTGCTGTCTGCTGGCTTGGGGCCAGGGGCTCCCCGCTGCCCAGCCCTGCGCTGGAGGGCCGTGTGGCTGGGCTTGGGCACATCGGAGGGGGCCGCGGACACCAGGCCTTGGCTGCCGGCCAGGCACCTCTTTGTTTCTGGGCATACAGCAGTTGCTTAATAAACGTGAGTTTTATCATTACTGCTTGTGTTGGTTTTCTTAATTCATTTTCTTGGCTTGGGGGGGGATGGATCCGTGTCTTCTCTCTCTGTCCCCCAAGCACACTGTGCAGGGGGGAGACAGGCTCTGTGGGAGCTGGACAGAGTTGCCGGACAGGTGGGCACCGGGGGTGTCTGCTGGCGTGCGTCCGGTGTAGAGAAATGAGACCCGTGAGGGCAGGGGCCGTGCCCGGGGCCTGAGTCAGGGAGTGGTCAGCACCACACCAGCCCTGCCCCATGGTCCTTCGTGCCCAGCGGCAGGGGTCAGGGGGCGCAGAGGTAAAGGATGGCTGTCTGGGTGGGGGGGTGCGATGTGTCCTCAGACCTAGAGTGTGTCTTAAAGAGTGTGAGCTGATTTGGTAAAGGAGGTAAAATTTGCCATTTTTAAAATTAGCTAGCTGTCCTGCAGCTGCAAGGGGCTTGCGGACGCCAAGCCCCCCCCCCCCCCCACTTGGCTAATTGACTGTCTCAGGCTGTTGTTACCGAAAACCTTCGCCCCAGCGAGCAGAGCCCCAGTCACGGGAGGCACGGAGCCTGTCTTTGCATCCCCAGGGGCGGGAGGGGGTGAGGCCAGGGCAGGGCCAGCCCTGGGGCCAGGAGACCCGGTGGAGCCGCAGAGGGAGCCAGGGCCTGGGGTGCTGTGGGTCGGTTGTGCGTGAGGGCGCTGCTCCGTGAGGCCCTGAGTGCCGTGCCCGTGGGGAGGCGTGAGGAAGCATGATCTCAAGGCGGGAACAGCCAGGCCTGTGCCCTCTGCCCTGTGAAACGTGGCAACAGACCCTCCTGCCAGGAGGGAGAGGGCAGCGGCCGGGGTCTGCCATGTGACACTAACAGGTGTCCCCACTGGCATTATCGTGGCTCTAGTCCTGTGCCCCTAACCTGTCCCCCGGCCATGGGCCAGAGCCCGAGCACCTGGCCCGTGTGCTTGGAGTCAGAGCTCTGTGAACAAGGAAGTGCCGCCCACAACCCCAAGGTGCAGGAGTGGGGGGACTCGGCGCCGGCGTCCCCAAGTCCTGCAGGACCCATGCACCATGACTGCTCCCCCTGCCACGCGAACATGAGGGAAGCCAAAAGGCTTCAGGGAGAAGGTGACAGATGTGGGTCCGAAAAGGGCTCCTGTAACTCGGTCCCTTTGTGCGTGACCGACATGGCCCTGTGCAGAAGGCACGGCCTTGATGGGTGCTTCTGTTCCTTCCCGTGGAAGTTGCTGGAAGATAGGGTGGGGGTGGGGAGGATGGGACCCCACGGAATGCCAGGGGCCGTGGAGCTTTCTGGGTTCAAATTCTTCAATGGATAGGCTCCTGGGCTGAGCCTTTCCGTGCCTCGGTTTCCTGGTTTTCGATGTGGACGACGACGGGAGTTTCTCGGAGGCTGTGGCCACGGCTAAGCACGGCGACCTGGCACCGGACAGCGCTTGGCATCGTAACGGAGGGTCTTCTGCATTTAGAGCGGACGCTTGACCATGATTTATCCGGGGCGTCCTGCAGAGGGCGCGACAGTCCCATCCCAACCGCATGGGACTGCGGAAAGTCCAGGGTCACTTGGAGAACACGAGGCCGCTGCGCGCAGACGCGGCGCACCTGGTGCACGCGCACCTTCCTCCTGGAAGGCCCCGGGCCCTGGCGGTCTTGCTGCCCGTGGGGACTGGCACTCGTGAGCGCTTCCGGCACTGAGGACGGGAGGGACCCTGCCCGCACCAAGGAGACCAAAGTGTGCTGTTGTGTTGGCGTCGCGCGTGTTTTCCTACGTCCTTAGAGTCTTTGGAAACGTGTTTGGACATGTGTGTCAAACAGAGGTAGGAACTCAAGGCCAGGGCCAGCTCCTCCCAAGGACACTTTGCAGGTAGGGTTTGGGGTATTTTTGAGACCCACGTGCCTCCTTCCCGTATTCTGCAGCTGGGTCCCTCCCATACCCCCTGGTGGCCGCCCCGAGGCCCGAGTGGGAGGAGATGGCACGCCGGGCACCGGCTCCACTCCCGGTGATGCCTCCCCACTGCCCGGGTCCTGGGCTCTCCCCCCACCCCCGCCCCCGCGGCAGCCTGCTCCGGGCACTCCCCCATGCGTGCCATCTGTGGCATGGGGGCAGTGGCAGAGGCCGAGGGGAACCCTCAGGAAGCTCCGGAGCTGCGGAGACGTGTGCTGGTACCGGATGCTCAGCCAGTAGGGGGAGGCCAGGGTCCCAGAGGTGCCGACCTTGGGGAGAGAGCAGAGGAGCGGGGAGCGGAGAGCGGCTGCCCGAGGACCTCCCCACTACTCACCAGCCGCAGCTCGATGTTGACCTCTGGCTCCTCCCGGTGGTATTGCCAGCCTTTCAAGTCATCTCTTCTCAGGAAGCCTCCCCTCCCGGATCACATCATCTCTCCTCGGAAAGCGTCACTCGGGATCAGGTCCTCCCTCCTCAGAAAGTCTCGCTCTGGATACTGTCATCCCTCCTCAGAAAGTCTCATTCGGGATCCAGTCATTCCTCCTCAGGAAGCCTCGCTCCAAATACTGTCATCCCTCCTCAGAAAGTCTCACTCGGGATCCAGTCATTTTTCATCAGAAAGCCTCGCTCTGAATACTGTCATCCCCCCTCAGAAAGTCTCACTCAGGATTCAGTCATCCCCCCTCAGAAAGCCTCGCTTTGGATCTGGTCATCCCCCCTCAAAAAGTGTCACTTGGGATCCAGTCATTTCTCCTCAGAAAGCCTTGCTCTGGATTTGGTCATCCTTCCTCAGAAAGTCTCACTCAGGATCCAGTCATCCCTCCTCAGAAAGTCTCGCTCTGGATACTGTCATTCCCCCTCAGAAAGTCTCATTCAGGATCCAGTCATTTCTCCTCAGGAAGCCTCGCTCTGAATACTGTTATCCCTCCTCAGAAAGTCTTGGGATCCAGTCAGCCCCCCTCAGAAAGCCTCGCTCTGGATTTGGTCATCCTTCCTCAGAAAGTCTCACTCAGGATCCAGTCATCCTTCCTCAGAAAGCCGCTCTCAGGATCCAGTATTCTTTGGGACCCCAAAGAGTAAACAGTATTGTTTGGGATCATGTTATCCCTCCTCATAAAGCTTTACTCAGGATCCAGTCATTCCTCCTCAAAAAGTTGCTCAGGATCAGGCTGTTCCTCCTCAAAAAGTCTGGCTTGAGATCAGGTCATGCCTCCTCAGAAAGCCTCACTTGGGATCATGTCATTCCTCTTCAGGAAGCTTTACTTAGGATCTGGTCATCCCTCCTCAGAAAGCCTCACTCTGGACCCAGTCATTCCTCCTCAGAAAGTCTCACTCGGATCTGATCATCCCTCCTCAGGAGACCTTACTTGGGATGATGTCATCCCCCCTCAGAAAGTCTCACTTGGGATCCGGTCATCCCTCCTCAGAAAGCCACGCTCAGAATTCAGTCATCCCTCCTCAGAAAGCCGCTCTCAGGATCCAGTATTCTTCTTCAAACAGTTGTTTGGGATCAGGTCATCTCTCCTCACAAAGCCTCACTTGGGATCATGTTATTCCTCCTCATAAAGCTTCACTCAGGATCCGGTCATTCCTCCTCAGAAAGTTGCTCAGGATCAAGCTGTTCCTCCTCAGAAAGTCTGGCTTGGGTCAGGTCATGCCTCCTCAGGAAGCCTCACTTGGGACCACATCATTCCTCTTCAGGAAGCTTTACTTAGGATCTGGTCATCCCTCCTCAGAAAGCCTCACTTGCGATCTGGTCGTTCTTCCTCAAAAAGCTATTCAGGATCAGGTCATCCCTTCTCAGAAAACCTCACTCTGGGTCCAGTCATTCCTCCTCAGAAAGTCTCACTTGGATCTGGTCATCCCTCCTCAGGAGGCCACACTTGGGATCATGTCATCCTTGTCAGGAAGCTTCACTCAGGATCTGATCAGGCCTCTTCAGGACGTCTGGCTCCGGACCAGGTCATCCCTCCTCAGGAAGCCTCCCTTCAGGATCAGGCAGTTGTTCTCCACTGTCCACAAACTTCTGGCCTGTGTGGAGAAACTCCGTGCCATGGTTTTTCAGTTGGTTCTTTTTTGGATCTCTCTTTGTCCTCGGTGTTTTTGGCAAGCTGGCCCCTTAGAGAACCTTCTAATATGGAAATTCACATCCTTTAATTCTGAGAAAATACTTTGAAGACATTTTTGGATGATTTTTCTTCTTGTGTTTTCTTTCTGGAAGTCCCAGAAGAGCTGTTTCTTGCCAGTCAGATCATTCTTCTAATTTTACCTTCTTTTCTGTTTTCTACCATGGTCTTTTTAACCTGCTCTCTAGGAGTTTTTCTCAACTTTATATTCCAACCACGTGTTGATGGTTCTTTGCTGTGGTCAATACAGAACTATCGCAGGGCCCTCTTTGCTTTGTTTGATGGCGTCTTTCATTAATGAGTATAGTCTTTGGGGGGCGCCTGGGGGGCTCTGTCAGTGAAGCATCTGACTTCAGCTCAGGTCATGATTTCATGATTTGTGAGTTCGGGCCCCGCATCAGGCTCTGTGCTGACAGCTTGGAGCCTGGAGCCTGTTTCAGATTCTGTGTCTCCCTCTCTCTCTGCCCCTCCCCCACTCATGCTCTCTCAAAAATAAACATAAACAAATTTTTTTTAAGTGAGTATGGATAGTCTTTTCGTCTTTCGGGGATATGAGTAACGGTTGCGCTTTTCTTACTTTTTGTTTTTCTAAGCTTCCTTCTCGTGTGGTTTGGCATCTGCGGCGGCTTCGGCTTGTCTAGATTGTCTACATCTTGTCTAGTCCGCAGGCTTCCCCGGAGCGCTCTTGCTCAGGGCCAGGGCCCGGGCCCGGGAAGGGGGGGTGGTCTGGGGCATCACTGGGGGGCTGCACCCCTGCCTCCGGTGCCCTGGCGCTTCCCTTCTCTGTCACCTCCCCTTCTCTGCCTCCCAGTCTACTGGTGAGCAGCGGGGAGGGTCCCGGGGCCCCTGCCTTCCTGGTCTCTGGGTTCCCAGTGAGGCTGTGTCACATCCGGCACCCCGGGGGCTGCCCGCCAGTTCTAGAACCCTGCCGCTGGCACTGCTGTCTCAGCCCTGCTCTGTTCATGGCCATCTTTCGTCTCTTGCTCACCGGGGTCATCAGGGTTCAGAGGTCAGGGGCCTCCAGTCCACCCTCTGTCGCCTTGGGCCTGGCCTTTTTTCTGGGCGTTTATAACTTAACTGAGAGAAAGCTGCGTTTTGTGTCCTTTTCCTTGCTACGCTTACAGGACGTGTCCTCGCACGCAGGAAGACTGTAAACTGTCAGCAGTGGCTGCTTCTGCTACAGTCTGCTCAGGTGCTGCCGGCCCTGATTCTTCTAATGTTGAGAAGGACGGTGTCGCGGGGCACCTGGGTGGCTCAGTCAGCTAAGCCTCAGACTCTTGGTTTCGGCTCAGGGCATGATGTCATGGTTCATCGGATCGAGCCCCACGTCGGGTTCTGCACTGGGTTCTGCGCTGTCAGCACTTAGCCCGCTTGGGATAGTCTCTCTCTCACTGTCTCTCTCTCAAAATAAGTAGATTAAAAAAAAGCAGAGGATGACCCTACAGTGAACCTCCTGATCCTGAACACTCCAGCTCTGCGGCGCGTGTCCTGGGGAGACAACTCCTGCCCGGCAGTTTCAGGCGGGGGGTTTCAGGAAGCCTTTGAGGGGTGGCTTTCAGAGAGAGAGGAAGGTCATTCTAGTTGTTTACCTTAAGTAACCTGGACCACGAGTGTGCATGTGCGACGGGCGGTTTGGCTTCACGGCGGGTGCAGCCGCCGCCCCCTGCCCGCAGCAGGCCCCCCGGCGGCTCCTGGGCCCGCAGTGCCCACCTCCGCTGCCCCCACGTGAGTGCAGACGGGGGAGTGTAGATAGGATGGAGCTGTAGCTTAGAACAGAGAGGGAGAGACCGAGCCCGAGGTTGCAGAGGCTAAGGGACGGTTGCCCACGAGGCCACAGGGCAGACTTGGCCTTGCAGCATGGCCCGGTCAGGCCCTTTGTGCCTTGGCCTCCCCTCCGTGGACAGGATCGGCCCCGAGCTCTGGAGGAGGACTCCACGGTCAGAGTGCCGGGAGGAGCCCGCGTTGCACGGGGAGGAAGGGCGGGCCGCCCTCCCTGCAGTGGCGAGCAGGGGACCCCTCCTCTAGTTCAGGGGCCTGTGGCGCTGAGCCCGCCCAGAAGAGCCTGTGCCGTGGCGACCGGCAGTCGTTGAGGGCAGAAGCCATAGAGTTTTCCTTCGCCTTGAGCTTCCGAATAGAGACCTTTCCACGGAAAGCGGGGTTTGCCTTGGGCTCCGTCCCACCCCTCCTTCGGGAGGGATCGAGGGACCTCTTCACAGCCGGCTGGAGGGTGGCTCGCCCCTGCGAGCGTCACCCCCCCCCCCCGCCCCCTCTAGGCCTTCCTCCATCACCTCCTCCCGGGTCCCCCCGGACTGTCCCTGGCGCTGCCCCCGACGGGGCCGTCCTGAAGCGCTGGCTCTCGTAGGTCTTTGTGACGCCCCACAGGGCTGCGAGCCGCCTCCCGCAAGCGGGACCGCCTGCCCAGCCGTCCAGACAGGGACTCGGCCCACCCCGGCCGGGCGCACGCGCCCCGGAGCACGGCGAGCTGGCGGCTGGGGGTTGTCGGGTGGTCGTCAGCCGGGTGCGAGGGCCTGGGGCCCGCCCCGGGGTTCCGGGGGGAGGGGTCGGCCCTGCACACGGAGGTCCACGTGCTTAGCACGGGGACACGGAGAGTGCTCGCTCCTGCGCACGGGTGGCGGTGACCGTCACGGACCTGAGGGAGCGAGCCAGCTCCGCCCTTCCCTCCAGCCAGCCGGGCGCCGGAGGCACACCTGTGTCCCACACCTGTGTCCCGCCCCCGTGTGCTTCCCTGCAGATGCTGGACGAGAACCACCACCTGATCCAGTGCATCCTGGACTACCAGAGCAAGGGCAAGACGGCCGAGTGCACCCAGTAAGTGGCCGCCGGGCTGCGGTCGCCCTCAGCGGATGGCCTCGTCCCCCCACCCCAGGGCGCTCCCTCCGGGGGGAGAGACGGCGTGGAGGGAAGTGAAGGGGCGGCTGCTGGCGGACGCACCAGGGGACGATGAGCGCCCCCAGGTAGGGCCTCGTGTGACCCCCGGGGCGTGACGCGCGCCTGGCCTTTCCTGCGGTGAACTGAGCTTCCCCGCCTCCTCCCGGCGGGGGCGGGAGGGCCCAAGTCCGCCCGTGCCGGGGTCAGATGGCGGAGGGCTCGTTCCCAGGCGCCCGCTCCCGCGCCTCCCCCAGCCTTCTGCCTCCTCCTCCCGCAGCCCTGAGCACGCCTGCTGGCACCTGCCTCGGGCCACCGCCTCAGGGCCTTCCGGGGTGTTGCCATCAGACAGGACCCCTCTCAGGACTCGCTGGGTCCTGTTCCCTGCCTGGCCCTGTCCTGGAGCGCAGAGCCGTGTGTTGCCTGCCTCGTCAACGTCCCCGGACGCGGTCTGGGGTCAGCACCCCCGGGCCCGGCCGGAAGGCTGTCCTGGGGAAACTTTACTTCTCCCAGGTGGCCTGCGGGCTCTGCCTCACTGTGTGCCCTTCGCCCGCAGGTACCAGCAGATCCTGCACCGGAACCTCGTCTACCTGGCCACGATCGCGGATTCTAACCAGAACATGCAGTCCCTGCTCCCCGCCGTGAGTGCCTGCGGGGGGGCCAGGGGGGGACAGTGGGCCCCATCGCCCAGTACGGTCGCCCAGTGCGGTTTGGGGAGCAGCCGTCTGAGCGTGTGACCCGGAATAGCCAAGTAACAGATAGGAGCCTGGAAAGGGGAAGGGACCCCCAGTTGGCCAGAGTCGGAGCGGACTGGTCCGAATCGTGCCATCAGCTTCTGTAGCAAAGGGAGGGGACCCCGAGGAAGCAAAGGTAGAAGCGGTGGGAGGCGGTACAGGGGATTTCTTGCTCTTTACCCTGCACCCTTCTGAGCAAGTTTGAAAATGGGGCCCAGGAACAGACAGTGCGCTGAGTCAGCAACAGAACCCTGAGGTGTACCCAGTGCGGTAAATGTTTTAAACGTCAGTTTGCTTTGTTTTCTGCTTATGTTTTTATTTTTTTTATATAATTTTTTAAAAGTTTTTTTTTACGTTTTTTTTTTGAGAAACAGGGACAAAGCATGAGCAGGGGAGGAGGGGGTGCAGAGAGAGAGAGGGAGACAGATTCTGAAGCAGGCTCTAGACTCCAAGCTGTCAGCACAGAGCCTGACGCGGGGCTCGAACTTCCAAACCGCGAGATCATGACCTGAGCCAAAGTTGGACGCTTAACTGACCGAGCCACCCAGGTGTCCCTCTGCTTAATTTTTTAAAATCCGTTTTCCCCAAATCCACTGCTGCAAAGGCAGGGTCCGGCAGCGGCCGCCTCCTGCATGGTGGACTGGAAGGCAGCGCTGTGAGAAGGATCAGCCCATGTAGACCACGGTGGGTGGGGAGGTTCCCAGACAAACCCAATGCCCCCGAGTCCCCTGGAAAGTGACATCATAAGTGCCCAGATGTGTTTTGCTGGTAAAATTGTTAAACCGACATTGATTGGTCTGTGAAATTGGTACTCCTCACCTTGGAGATAGCAGTGGCTTCTGCTGGGAACCTCATTTTGTTGGCCAGGTGTAGACAGCATCTGCTTCCGACCCTATGGAGCTGCTGTTTGGTCTGGATCTGGGGAGTGAGGGTGCAGGGGTCACTCGTACATCCTGTCGCCTTCTACATCCTGATCACGGTTGGCCTTGCTGAGGGGCAGGGCGCGAACACCGGAGGAGCAATGGCAACGCCAGTGCTAAGGCACAGGGCAGTCTGTGCAAAGGCCCTGGGGCCTGGGGTGGTATGGGTGAGGCACACAGCGAATCCTGGCCAGCTGGGGCCAAGGTGGAGGGGCAGGGGTGTGGAGTAAGATGAGGCAGGTGCTGTGTGGTGGGCCCCTGAGGTGGGGGTCCCCATAAGGAGGGCCGTCTTTGAATCTCTGGGTATGCGTTGGTAAGCTCGATACTCACTTGAGGTCTGAATGTTCTGCCAGAACACTTGGTGTGCCGTCTCCGGGCCTACCTGACCACACGTGCAAGCGCCATCGGTCACAGACGTTCGCCAGGTGGCCGTGAACCATCACCGTAGCTCTCGCGGACCGCCAAGTCCCTTCACCTCTGGGTCAACCGTCCCCCCCATTACCTTCTTGTCCCCGCAGCCGCCGACCCAGAACATGAACCTGGGCCCTGGAGCGCTGTCCCAGAGCGGCTCCAGCCAGGGCCTGCACTCCCAGGGCAGCCTCAGTGACGCCATCGGCACGGGCCTGCCCCCGTCCTCCCTCATGCAGGGCCAGATCGGCAACGGTGAGTACCCGGCGCACCGGCGACAGCGTCAGCGACTGAGCTCCCCGGTGCCCGGCCGTCTCGGCAGAGACCTGTGACCCGCGGGGCTGAGCGTGGCGCGCCCTCCTCCCAGAGGCGCTGGCTGCAGGGGCGCTGCGGTGCCCGGGCACACGTGCGCGGGGGTCACGTGCAAAGGGGAAAAGGCACTTCAGACCCCTGCTCTGCCTCGACTTCACGCCCCACGTGGGGCTCCGTGTGTGGTTTGTAAACGAGAACGAAAAGGTTCTCTTCGGATGGAGAACCGTTTAGCCAGCCACGGGGGCTGTTACTGTCACGGCGAAGATCCGATCCCTGTGCTCGGTCAGCGTGCGTGTTTGTTTCCTCCGTCTGCGGCGCTGCTGACCCCGGGCCGGCCTCCCTCCCTGCCGCCGCGTGAAGGGAACGCGGGGCGTCCAGCAGCAAGGCCAGGCCCGCGGTCAGAGGCGGTCCCTGGTGGGTTTAAGGACCCTCCCTATGCTCCTGGCAGGTCCGAACCACGTGTCCATGCAGCAGACGGCGCAGAGCACGCTGCCCACCACCTCCATGAGCATGTCTGGCAGCGGCCACGGCACGGGGCCCGGCTACAGCCACTCGGGACCCGCCTCGCAGAGTGTGCCCCTGCAGGGCCAGGGCGCCATCGGCAACTACGTGTCACGGGCCAACATCAACATGCAGTCCAACCCAGGTACCACGCTGCTCGGCGCTAGGACACCCCACCAGCCCCGGGGCCCTCCGAGATCTGTGCAGGCTGTGCACGCGGTCCCGTGGGGCTTCTCGAGGGTGGGGGCCGTGGGAACAGACCAGGTGGGCATCTGGCTTTGTGGAGGGGGGTTTCCGGCCATCCCCGCGGCAGCTTCAGGCAAGGCCGTGCCGAGGGGCGGGATGTGCCCTTCCTCAGGACGGGACCGGGCTCACGCAGGGTGGGGAGTGGTGTGGCCAGAGCGCAGAAGTGGGCAAGGTGCAGGCCCCCAGTGCTGGGCCAAGGGAGCCCCGCAGGCTGGGAGTGGGGTGCTGAGCCCTGGGAAGCATCGGGTCCCCGTTGAGCTGTCCCAGAGCATCATACATTGGATTTCAGAGGCTTAGTACAGACGGCAAGAACGTGAGCTATCTCCCTGGGTTACTTTTAATATTAACTGTATACTGAAAATTAGAATACATATGTGTGATTGTTTTATGTCTTATTTTTTCTGAGCAAGGGGAGGGACAGAGAGAGATGCAGAGCGTGACACAGGGCTCAAGCTCATAAACTGCGAGATGATGACCTGAGTCAAAGTCAGATGCTCAACCAACGGAGGCACCCAGGCACATTTTTTTTAAGTTTATTTATTTTGAGAGAGAGAGTGAGCAAGCAGAAGAGGGGCAGAGAGAGAGAAAGAATCCTAAGCAGGCTCCACGCTGTCAGCGCAGGGCCCAACACAGGGCCCAAACCTATAAACTGTGAGATCGAGACCTGAGCTGAAATCAGTAGTTGGGTGTTTAACTGATTGACCCCAAATGAGGCTATTTAGGTATTTTGAGCCAAAACATATTACTAAACTAGCTCTCACCCGTTTGCCCACTGTTTCAACATGGCTTACGCCCCATTCTGCCGGACGGCGCTGTTTTAGCGGGTTCTGTGCAGGGCCGGCACCACTGGACAGGCCGGGGGCAGAGGCGTGGCTCCTCTGGGACCGGCCTGGGGGACGAGGGGTCAGGACAGGACTCGTGTTCCTCTGCGCGTGGAGGTGGCCCGGGAGCTGGAGGCGGTCGGGGTGCGGCCGGGGTCCGGGGTGAGGGTGCGGACGGCCGCCTGGGGAGCTTCTCGGGGTTATTCGGGTCTGTCGTGTCGCCCAGTGTCCATGATGCACCAGCAGGCGGCCTCGTCCCACTACAACTCGGCGCAAGGCGGGAGCCAGCACTACCAGGGCCAGTCGTCCATGGCCATGATGGGCCAGAGCGGCCAGGGGGGCGGCATGATGGGGCAGCGGCCCCTGGCACCCTACCGGCCCTCCCAGCAAGGTGAGGCCCGCGCCGCGTCTCTCTGCCCGGGGAGCTGGGGGGCGTGAGGCTTCGCGTGGCCTTTGGGATCACGCGAGGACGGTGGCGGTCTCGTGGGGCCGGCGAAACTTCGACGGCCGCGCGCCGGTGCTGCTCCCGGAGGCGGCCAGGCTGGAGCCGCTCTAGGGGGTGGGGTCAGGTGCAGGGGCCACCGCGGGGGCTGGGGAGGTTGGGTGTAAGTGTGGGCGTCGAGGAGGCCGTCCGTGACAGGGGAACGTGCTGAGGTCACGTCCCGTGCGCCCGCCCGCCCCCAGGCTCGTCCCAGCAGTACCTGGGCCAGGAGGAGTACTACGGAGGCGAGCAGTACGGACACAGCCAGGCCGCCTCGGAGCCCATGAGCCAGCAGTACTACCCTGACGGTGAGGCCCGCGCCGCCCCTGCCGTCTGCCAGCAGAGCATCCGGAGTTCCCCTGGCCCGAGTCCCTTTGGGAATGGGGGCGACGGCACCCCTGGCCTCTGCCGAGAGAAGTTGCCGGCTCAGGCCACGGCCACTCAGCTGCTTGAGGCTTCTCGTCTCCCTTCCTGAACGGCAGCAGGAGGCTGAGGCTGGGACGTGCGGTCCCCGAGTCGGGGCGTCTAACTGTTGTAGACGGTGGACGCAGGAGCCCCTGTGAAAGGCCTTCAGAGGCGACGGACCCGAGCCGGCGGTTTGTGTCTGCCGCTCCGTTAGTTTCTGCAGACGTTTCCTGTGGTAGCCTCCTTTCGGTCACGTTCCGATAGTCTCGGGATCTGCGAGGTAGCGTGGAAAGCAGTCACAGAGGATGGGTGGGATTTGCAGGGGGAGCGACCCGGGGCAGAGAGCACACACAGGGTGAGTGGTTGGGAGCGGCTGAGGCCAGTGCAGGCCGGGCTGTGTCACTGCCAGGTAATGGTGACACGGCCCCCTGAGGGCTCACGGTGCCCAGGACGAGGGCCGCCCGACCTGGTCACGTGTCCGGCACTGACTACGCCGTCTCCCCTCTCTAAACCGAGACGGACTCCTCACCCCCACCCCCCAAGCAGGGTGGCTGCCTGCACCTTGAGGGAACGGAGGCCAGGAAGTGGCAGGAAGCTCCGTCACAGACAGCGTGTGGGGGAAACAGACCAGGCCCGGCTCCGGGCACTCCTGACCCCACGGCGTGGCCCGTTCACTTCACAACTGAACCCTGTGCGCAGGCAGCCTGGACCCCCCGCTGACCGCAGGCTGTGTGCGTTTGCCTGCAGGACACGGGGACTACGCCTACCAGCAGTCGTACACGGAGCAGAGCTACGACCGGTCCTTTGAGGAGTCCACGCAGCACTACTACGAGGGCGGTAAGCCGCGCGGGGGCCTTGGCTCCCCTCAGACACGCCCCGCACGCTGCGAGGCCCAGGGTGCCTGTGGCCGCTGCGGGCGCTGGGTGCCCACTCATGACACGGGCAGGGTGGTCGGACCACCTGTGCTGCGGTCGGGGAGGCACAGACCCCACCATCTGTGGAGGGGGAGCTCAGGTGGGCACATTCAAGAGTTCCCAACCCGGTTGGGGGGCGTCCAGGCACCCCATGTTCCTCCTGAGCCAGGCGGGCAATGCACGTGGGTGCGTGGCTTCCTGGGTTTGGCCTGGGCATCTCTTCAAATGCCTGCTGGCCAGATCGAGTGCAGCGTGGGCTGGGGGCTGTCCATGGGGGGGGGGGGTGAGACGGTGACGCTCTGGAAGCGGACTGCCACCACAGAGCCGGTTAACATGCGCCCGTTTTCCTGCTGTGAATGCTCCCACCCACACTGACTTCCAGCCACCAACACAATGCCATCAGACACAACCAGGAAGAAATTTGCACGTTAACTTTTCAGAGAGGGGCCCCATAGAGTGAAGGCACCTCTCCCTGCCCCCACGAGACCCCAAGAGGAGAGAAAACTGCGAAGTCACAGGGTCCTGGGACAGCAGCCGTGTATAGCCTAGGTTTCCTGGTCGGGACGTCCCAAGTGGGGACAGCGTGAGGTTTGGTAGCAGGGCCCCTGGGGACGGAAACACAAATAATAAACGTGAAACAGGCAGTTTGCACATCGAGGTGTTTTCAGTGGTTTTTTAAAAATAATTATGCTAAAAACATCAAAATTCACCTCTTGAGCCGTTTCCGAGTGTAGTTCAGTGACGTGAGCACACTTACATCGTGCAGCTGTCCCCACCGTCCATCCCCAAACCTGTCCGTCTTCCCGGACTGATCTGCTACCCCCGTCAGACACTGGCTCCCCGGCTCCCTCCCCCAGCGCCCACTTTCTCTACGTGTGACTCTGCGTCTGTAGGGCGGGGTCATTCAGCACTTGTCCCGGTGGGATCCGCTCACCTCGGTCAGCATAACGTTCTCAGGGCTCATACGTGTTAGCAGCTGCCGGAATGTCCTTCCTCTTGAAGGTGGGATCATTTTCTAGTGTGTAAGTGCCTTGTTCATCCACTCGGTGGTCACTTTAAAAAAAAAAATTATGTCTATTTTTGAGAGAGAGAAAGAGAGCGCGCACGCATGCAAGCAGGGGAGGGGCAGAGAGGGAGGGAGACACAGAATCCGAAGCAGCTCCAGGCTCCGAGCTGTCAGCACAGAGCCCGACGCGGGGCTCGAACCCACGGACTCTGAGATCATGACGGGAGTCGAAGTTGGACACTTTAATCGACTGGGCCCCTCAGGTGCCCCAGCAGACCGACACTTCGTGGGTTGTTTGTGTCTCTCGGCTGTGGTGAATGACACTGCCGTGAACGTCGGTGTGCAGAAGCCTCTTCCAGTCCCTGCTTTCATTTCCTTTGCGTTTGTACCCAGAAGTAGAATTACGAGTGATCTGGTAATTCTGTGGTTAATTTCTTGAAGAGCCGCCATACCGTCTCCCATGGCGCAGGTTCGTTTCTCAGTCGCGGTGGAGCGGCGGGCGATCACCAGGTGCGTGGAGAGTACGACAGAAGCGCCCAGGAGGTTGGGCTGCAGTCAGTTAGAAGGATTTCCCCGCAGCAGCTCCCCCTGCCCCCACGCTTGGGTGTCACTTACTAACGAGGCTCAGACCCAGTCTTCTTGTTCTGGGAGTCTGGCTCCCGAGACCCCGGGGTGGCCCGTGCCTGTGCAGTCACAGCCCCTCAGGTCCTCACCCCTGCCCCGGCAGCTGCCCCCACCTTTTCCCAGAGCAGGTGCGGTGACCTGGCCATGACCCCTGGCTGGATGTGGAACCTAACGATGGGTGTCGGGCAAGAGAACAAAACATCCCAACCACCTCAAGGCAAAATTATTTATGAGTAACTTCATGTTCCCTGTTGTTTTTACGAACTAGTCAAGTGGTTGAGTGTTGGCCACTGATGGGGAACAAGTAACACTTTTTTTTTAAGATTTCTTTTTAACGTTTGTTTTTGAGAGAGAGAATGGGGGAGGGGCCGAGAGAGAGAGAGAGGGAGACGGGATCCAAAGCAGACCCCGTGCTGACAGCAGCGAACCCTCGCACTCACGAACCTGAGCCGAGAGCAAGAGTCAGATGCTTAACTGACTGAGCCCTGTTGGCGCCCTGCAGGCGACACCTGTGTTCCGCCTCCTCACTCACCCACCCCCACCCCCCAAGCTGCTGGGCTCCACACGGCCAGAGATCCACGTGTTTGGGCCATTTTAGAAACAGCTCCATGTGTGAGGAGTAGAGTTGGCTCGGGTCTGCGCCGCTGGGTCTCTGCCTGCCAGGAAGAGGGGAGCATCCGGGGCCATCCCTGCACCCGCTCCTCCGCCAGCACCGAGGCCGCAGCCGTGGGCTCTCCATCTACCTTCGGGACGCCAGCGCTCAGCCTTCACCACCGGGAGGACCCTCTGCTCACCGCCCAGGCTGCTGTGTCCCTGTGAGGATCCTCAGGAAAGAACCTTCTAGCAGAAATGATTGCTCCAAAGACAGATTCGGACGTGCCACTCAGCCTTTTGAACTTCGAAGTGCACGGCTTTATACTCTCACATTTAGGTTACGTGTTCTCGCCTCCCGTAATCGACAGGAGACTTGCTAAAACAGTCACGTCTTTTAAGGCGGGTGTGGCAGACGGGGTTTCCTCCTGACCCTGGAAGCGTTTTGTTCCGACTCGCTGTCTGGACCCGGCCCGGCACTACTCATGCTTGTGTCACAGGGTCCGGGTCACCCACGGTGGGTGGCTGTGCCGGGTCTGGTATGAGAGGCGGGTGGTGTTGTGCTCTGAGAAGCCGGATGTGCGTGAGTGGCCCCTGGCCCCGTGAGGTGGAGGGCGTGGAGGGGAAGCAGTGAGGGGGTAGGTTGAAGCCAAAATAAAGAATTTTCCAGTCATTACATTATCCCACTGTGGGATGGGGCATCTTGTGGGGCACAGTGGCTGGTCCTGGGGTTCGCGGGAGGTGGCATATGACAGGAGCGCTGGGCAGTCCCGTAGAATGAGAGGGCGCTCGCGGACAGAGCGCTGGTGTCAGGCCAGGAGGGAGGAGGGGACGTGCGGCCGGCCGAGCCAGGCGCCACGGTGCCGTGGGGGCCCACGCCGAGCACCATGGAAGCACTTCGTCACTGAGACTGTAAGAGTTTCTCCGCTTCCTCGCACTGGCCTCCTGGCTGCGTGGCCGCGGCGTGTTTCCAGCTGCCTGTGCGCGGCCCTGTGCTTTGGCTGCCGGGATGGGCTGTCCTGACGCGCTGCTTCTGGCTGTCTCGGTGTCCCAGGGCCACTGTGACAGGGGCTGCGCAGGCCAGGGGGCCGAGATCCGATGGAGGGTGTGTCCCAGGCCTCTGTCCCTGCTTCTGGTGGCTCCGGCCGTCCTGGGTGTCCTTGCTCGTGGGCCCGTCACTCCACTGTGCTGCTGTCCGCACGTGGCCCTCCCTGCGTCCGAGTCTACGTGGCCCTCTTGCGGGAACACGCGTCATCAGATTAGGGTTCATTCTAGTCCAGGACAGCCTGCTCCTCTCTGCTCCCATCTGCAGAGACCCTAATTCCAGATAAGACCCCGCGCACAGCTGCGTGGGGTTAGGGCTCCATCACACCTCTCGGGGGGACACAGTTCAACCCGAAACACTCATGTTAGCCTTTGCCTTCAGTTCACTTTCGTTTTGGCTACTTATTCACATTCTGGTAAGACAAGAAGAGAAAACGTCATAGAATATTTGACCTGTTGTGGAAAAGAAGATTCTGAAGCAGCCGAGTTGGTCCAGGGTTTTCTGAGGCGCCCACGTCGTGAGTGGTGGGAAGAGCCACCTTTGTCTCTGGAAACCAACCACGTGTGTCTTTCTCTGACAGGGAACTCGCAGTACAGCCAGCAGCAGGCGGGGTACCAGCAGGGCGCAGCCCAGCAGCAGGCGGGGTACCAGCAGCAGTACCCCAACCAGCAGAGCTACCCCGGGCAGCAGCCAGGCTACGGTAAGGGGGTGAGGTGGAGGGCGCGCCTTCCCACACGGGCCCCACGCAGGGTAACACTGCCGTTCGTTCAGTGAAGCTTATTAGTACGCTCATTTTGGAATGGTCTTATTAACTTTTTAATGTTTTATTTATTTTTGAGAGAGAGCGTGAGCAGCAGAAGGGCAGAGAAGGAGGGGGAAGCACAATTGGACGCAGGCTCTGCGCTGTCAGCACAGAGCCCGATGTGGGGTTCAAACCCATGAACCGTGAGATCATTACCTGAGCTGAAGGGTGATGCTAAACCAACTGAGCCCCCCAGGGACCCCCACTGTGGAGTAGTTTTAGATTTCCAGCAAAGCCGTGTGGCAGGCGCACAGAGTTCCCCTGTCTTTCACCTTGTCCGACCGCAGTGTGCTGGTCACAACTAGGAAACTACGCTGCCCCATTGCTGTTGACGGGACTCCCAGCTTATTCAGATCTCACTGGGTTTCCCCAAGTGTCCGATTCTGCCCCAGAGCCCATCTGGGATCCCACAGGACATTGAGTCTCACGTCTCCTCAGGCTCCCCTGGGCTGGGACAGCATCTCTGAAATCTGGTCTTTCTGGACCGTGACAGTTGTGAGGGAGCCTGGACACGTGGTTTGTCAGACAGCCTCGGGTTGGATTTGTCTGAACTTTTTCAGGGTGAACCTGGGCTGTGGGTTGGGAAAGACCGCAGGGGTGAAGGGCCCTTCTCATCCCACATCAACATGACTGTGGTCACTTGGCCAGGGACATCCGCCTGCTCCCCCCACCATCGAGCTGTCCCATCTTCCTCTCCCTCCGCCAGTCAGTGGAAGCAAGCCACTGAGTGCTGCCCACATGGGGGGGGGGCGGGGGATGGGCTCCCACAGACGGGAGCCCAGGTGCCGCTGTCGCATGAGGACAGCTGCCTGACGTGGCCACCGCGTGACGGCCCGGCACACCGTCGTCATAAAATACACCAGGAGAGTGCCTGGGTGGCCGCGTTGGCTGGGCGTCTGACCCGCTTAGGTCACGATCTGGCCGTTTCATGGGCTTGAGCCCGTGTCAGGCTCTGTGCGGACAGCGCGGGGCTCAGAGCCCGCTTCAGGTTCTGTGCCCCTCCCCTGCTCTGCTCTGTCTCTCTAAAAATAAACATTTAACAAAGAAATAAACAAGTACAATACGATAAAATACATGGTGAGAGCTGTCCTTACCACCTGAATGAGAGGGTGTCCTTCCACAAACCGTGTGCCTGTCTGAGTGGGACCCGGCCCTTGCTGCACCTCAGGACCGCCTGCCTGGCTGGGCCTTCACTCCTGAGCTCACAGGTGACCGTGACACACGGTGAGGAAGGAAAGCCCCCGGCCGAGATTTGTGTTCCACTTTTTACAGCCACGGCTAATTCAGTAACCATGTTTTGAAAAATTACTTGCCCTTAAAATCTTTATTTTTTCGTTAAGTGTTTATTTTTGAGAGAGAGAAAGAGAGAGAGCGCGCGCCTGCATGCGAGCAGGGGGAGGAAGGGAGAAGCAGAGACAGAGGATCCAAAGCAGGCTCCTTGCCGAAAGCACAGAGCCCGACTTAGGGTGCAAACTAACGAACCGAGAGATCATGACCTGAGCCAAAGGCGGTGCTTAACCGACTGAGCCACCCAGGCGCCCCCTTGGCTTTTATCAGTCCTTTCCAAAGCCTTCGCTTTACTTTCCACGGGAATGCCTTCCTCCTCCCTCGCACACGAGAGTTTTCAACACCTGCTGTGATGCCTAACTCGCGGGTTTGCGGGACCACTGTGGCGGACACGCTGCTGCCGGGAAGCAGCCCGTTCACCCCGGCCAGGGAGCTGCGCGGGAGCCGAGGGTAGCCTTGCTCTGTGCTCCGCTGAGCCTGCCCCGCTGGGTGGAACGGTGCTACAGGCACTTCCGGGGGGCCGGGGAGCGCTGTGGGGGTCATTCTCACGGCTCGCTGTGTGTTCTCACAGGGCCTGCCCAGGGAGCCGCCTCGCAGTACTCCGGCTACCAGCAAGGACAAGGCCAGCAGTACGGAAGCTACAGAGCGTCTCAGACGGGCCCGTCCGCCCAGCAGCAGCGGCCTTATGGCTACGAGCAGGCAAGATTCGGGGATGCCTTCAGACGCGCAGACCCGTCGTGTCTGTCGAAACGTGACGAAGGTTTCTCTTATGGTCGTGAGGAATAATGAGATGAAGGAATTGGCCGCCAGGGTCTCTTCCAGAATGTGAATTCTCTGATCCACTAAGGCTTTTGGAAATGACCTGTACGTGTACGCTCACTTGGTCAGACACGGCTGGCTGAGTGGCTCTGCGTCAAGGTCCCAGCCCAAGTTTGCAGCCAGCCCTGCTGCTGACCTGTGGGAGCTTGGCCCCTTGGGGATTTTTTTGGGGGGTGGCTGGTAAGGAGCCTCGCTGACCTTCTGATCGAAACCGTCAGCCACAGGCGTGGACGATGGCCTTTGGAAAGCGGCCAGTCGTGCTGCTCCGAGACCTAGGCAGAGCTGTTGGCCTGCTTGCTCTCCATGCCTGCTTCCATCCCGTCTCGGGTGGCCGCGGCGGGGCGCTGGGTGGGAGGTCTGCCTTAACTACGGGAGTATGACGTGTGTCTTGATCTCTTACAGGGCCAGTACGGAAACTACCAGCAGTAGGGACGAACGCTCTTGGTAGAGCCTTGCGGTGGCGTGGCCCCTGGGGATGGTTGGGCTGGTGGCAGTTCTCATGAACTCTGACCTCTTGACTGCCCCTCCGCCCCACGCAGCGTCTGCATGTGAAGCGTGCGCATTTCATGCTGGGTGCGATGCCAGGCGCGCACCGCTGGCGAGAGACGGCGCTTCGATGGTGTGACATATTCGGTGCTGTGTATAGTGTTGTACGTCCACACAATGGGGAGGTTGTCCCTTTTTTGTCGCCCCACCCTACCCTTGATGTTTCTAGCTAGCTTTAGGGGTCCTCTTGTCACCCGAGTATTCTGTGCCCAGGGATGGGACACGTCTACAAGATGCCATAGTCCATGTGTTCATATAAGCAGGCCTCAGGTCTGCCTCTTCTCACGCAGTTGTCATAACGTGGGTTGTAAATTGGTCTGTCGCCAGCCACACCGCAGCCGGACATGCGCGCACAGCCCCAGATGGCAGCCTCTCCCTGTGCCTCGATGGGGGCAGGGCGTCTTCTGTGTTTTGGGTCAGTTTCTGGTACACGGTGAGAAGGATGAACATGCTTTGCCGGGGGGGGGGGGGGGGGGGGGCTGTGAACGGTGCTTTCCAGAGCCCGTGCGTTACCCATGTCTCTCGCCAGTTGTGTTTATCCAGAATGTTTTATGTTTTTGTATAAAGAGCAAAGAGGGATCAACGAGTATATTCCAAATAAACGTACGATTAGCCTGACCCAGGGAAGGAAAGAGGGTAGTTCTTGGAAATGACTGGCCTTGGCCCTTATTTATTTGATGGTCAGTTTTGGGATTTGGATATTTGATATCACCCAGTCCTGAATTGAGAGTTTAAAATATTTGTACCAAATTTTCTAGTTGGCAAGTATTTTGTTTTATACCTTCCTGGACCTACTTACTCAGATCTCTAAGCAAGTGTTGCTGTTCTTTTAGAGAGATCTGAAATTCACATCTTATTTTTAAAAAGAACCCCACAAATTCTGTGTTCTTCCCAAGGACAGGAAGGGTTTAAAAGTAAGGGAATTTGAGTAAATGTTACATTCCTAGGACATCAAATCCCATTTAAGTTCTCCTCAGCCATTACAGATAGCTGACTTGGAAAAAGCATACTAAAAGGAAAACCTGTGTCACTAATCAGTAATACAAACATTGTATCAACTTTTACGTGGGTAAATGCTGACATGCTTCCAAGAACAACCAAGAAAATACAAAAAATATCCCATTCTTGATATATATCATATCTACTGGAGATCTAGTGGATCTACTGGAGATGGTGTTTTTAAATGGATAAATTCCGTGTTTTAATAGTCTAAAATAGTTTTTCAGCCAGAGTTGTTGATGGTTTACAGTTTACAAGGCATTTTATGCTGTTTTTATGTTGTTTTGTTTTGTTTTGTTTTGTTGCTTGAATGAATCCTGACAGTCCACACTGGGAAATACGGAGGCAATTACTGTTCCCATTTTACAGATGAAGAACCGAGGCACAGATTAAAGATTGCCCCAGACGAGTACCAGTCCTGTTCTGGCATATTTTCCCCTCTTCTGTGGGGACAGAGTCACACGTACATTGGGATAGGAGTGTCTATTTTATAGGCATATGGGTTTTAAAAACTCTTAATGCTGGTAAGGGCTTAAAAATACATATATTAAATTACTGAAAGAGAGTTCTTAATTGCTAAATGACACAGACATTAGCAATTTCATTTAAGTGGGGGGGGGGGTGTCTCCCTCAATTTTGTTCTGTTCTTTCCTGACAGTTTTCATAGAACTAATTTGCAAACGCAATCAGGAACTAAAATTTCCCACTGAAAATGTTAAACATTTTAGATAACTGTGAAAGTAGTTTTATTTTTATTCCTTGCCAATCTGCGAATATGCCTTTTATGTGTGTGTTTTTTTAAGTGCTGTATTAATACTTTTTGAAAGAAAAGGACACTTAAACTTATCCCAGAACTTCAATCTGAAATGTCTTACATTAAGAATTTCTTGAATGTTGTGTATATATTTTAAAAAGCACTTTGTGAAACAGTTTGTACATTTATTTCCTAATTTATACATGATTTTTGGTATTAATATATTTAATGATTAATAACAGAATGTTTATTTAATGTATTGTCCGTTCTTATGTACTGTTGTGGGGAAACGTGGTGCCAGCAGTTCTGTTTTCATTAAGTAATACGTATTCTCTCTCCTCTTCTGTAAGATGTTTGCAAAGCCTAGGCTAAAGTGAGTTGTTCGTGCAGTGTGGTCGATGGTGCTTTGTTTTTAATGACTGCTTCCACAGAAGGCCAGTGATGATGCAAAGGACACGTGGAACTTGACGCTCATTCTTCCTGCCCTGGCCCCCGGGCCACAGCAGGGCTTGGACCTGAGATGCTCGCCGCTCCGGATGGGCCGACCAACATGCGGCCTGCAGCCCCTCACCCTGGTTATTTTGCTGCGCAGCCGCCGGGTCGAGACCTGGGCTGCTGGCGGCCCCGTGGGGGGGGTGGGCAGGGGGGCAGCCTCAGGACCGCTGGGTCCAGAGCCCGAGCCTCCGTCCGCCGCTGTTCCTGGGGACCCGTGGTCTGAGTGCGGGCATCCGTTCAAAGCTGCGCGGGAGGAAGACGCTTCTGTTCCCCTTTCAATTTGTTGAGCTGTTACTTCATTTCTATTAATGGAACAGGTCAAATTCGTCTTATTTGTGAGCACAGTACATTTTCTGAAAAACATCCTATCAGTTCACTTTTTTCCAGTCGGAGTTTGGCGCGTATAAATTGCTTATGATTTGGGTGTAATGTATGAATAAACTGGTTCTTCAAAACCACCCTACCAGGGGTTTTCGTCTGTTGGGACCGAGTCTGGCACCCGGTCACGGAGTGGACGGTGGGTAGCTAGCGGGGGAGGGGGTGTCTGTCTGACGGGGGAGACAGGTGCTGACCGGGCTAGCGGGGTCTGATGGGGGAGGCAGGTGTCTGGCGGGGGGGGGGGGGGGGGGGGGGGGGGGGGGGGGGGGGGGGGG